AGATTGTAGCTGCTGTGGTGGTCTGACAGATATGTAGATTGGTAGCTGCTGTGGTGGTCTGACAGATGTGTAGATTGTAGCTGCTGTGGTGGTCTAACAGATGTGTAGATTGTAGCTGCTGTGGTGGTCTGACAGATGTATAGATTGTAGCTCTGTGGTGGTCTGACAGGTGTATAGATTGTATGCTGTGGTGGTCTAACAGATGTGTAGATTGTAGCTGTGGTGGTCTGACAGATGTGTAGATTGTAGCTGTGGTGGTCTGACAGATGTGTAGATTGTAGCTGCTGTGGTGGTCTGATAGATGTGTAGATTGTAGCTGCTGTGGTGGTCTGACAGATGTGTAGATTGTAGCTGCTGTGGTGGTCTGACAGATGTGTAGATTGTAGCTGCTGTGGTGGTCTGACAGATGTGTGTTGTGGCTGCTGTGGTGTGACTTAGATTGGGTTGCTGGTGGTCTGACAGATGTGTAGATTGTAGCTGCTGTGGTGGTCTGACGGATGTGTAGATTGTAGCTGCTGTGGTGGTCTGACTTGTACACACATGGCTGTCAGAGTATGTGCCTTCTTTACTGGACATGTGTGATATGGTTATAAGATCACATTAATGCAGGCTTAATGAGGGAGAACAAGGTCGGCTCGAGTACTCCAACACTACCTGACCTGGAAGGACATATTCTGCTTTCAGAGAAACATGTCTTTTATTGAGGTTTCACTGAAAAACACTTCAAGAAGAACAACATGGGAAATAAAAGTCGGTTAGTAACTCAATGAGTGCAACATTTAAAAGGTTCACCGGTGTGAAACAGTTCAGTTGTGACTTCTTTCGATTAATGAGAAATAAATCCAAAGACAGGAGAATGATTCCTCACCGTCTCTACTACGGCCGTCTTATAATTGTTGCCTGAAGGCGAAACTTATTTTTCCAATTTTCTTTAATGCTCCTGAGGTGTGAGGAATTGAGGACCAAATCTCACTCAGATTGGAAGCACGATGTTATCCTGAGGAGATGGTGCTCAGTGTGACTGTCAGACCTTTGGAAGGATTGTGTGGAATGAGGTGTGACAGGTTTTTCATCATTCTGAAGTGGAGAATGAAGCTGCAGGATGTTTGGTGGAAATAGGAACCATGAAAAGAAGATTTAAGATTACTAAGGCCATTATTACTTAATTTGTAGTCCACACTGTCCCAGAATTGATTCGCCACTCTATACATTTAAGCTTCCCTGAAGGTTTGATCTGAGAGGCAACATCCTATGTTCTCTTCACAGACAACCTGCAACACAGAGCTGCTACCTGTCAGAGAAGAAGTCTCCGTGTCAATCTGCATTCAGCTGATTTGATCTTATCCGTTTGCACCTCCCCCCCCCTCCTCTCTAGAGTGGATGCTCACACAGGTCACCATGTGGTGGACTCTGAAGCTTCAGTGTTTAGCCAGCTCTGCATCGGTCTGTAAACTTTTCTGCTTTCTAACCTCTCTCCATTTTTCAAAGCAAAAACATGAGCATTTCTCAAACTACCCTTTGCTAGAATTTTTTCTCATTTGTGCCGGTTGGACTTCCCTGTGTATTTAGTCTTTGTGTTCCCCCCTTTCTCCCTCTGACAGTTTGTCCTTGTACCAAGTACCCCCTGTTCCAGTATTTTGTCAGGGTTCATTCCCATTAATTTCCCTTCTTTTCTCTTTTTGTCTTCCTGACTCTGACTGATTTCTCCAATATTTGTATTCCTGCTTTTTTCTCACATTTCAACTTTTTTAACGTTTTGTGTTCTTCCTTCTTCCATTTTTAATCTAATAGCTATTTCACCAAAAAACTTTGGATCTATGTATTTCCTGTATGATTTTGGGCGTCATAACTTAAGTACGGCAGAATCCACAAGGTCTTTTTTTGGGGGGATAAGAGCTCCGACCTGTTGAAGTGCCGTCGGAAGCTCTCGCTCAGCAGGTAGAGGGCGAAGGGGTTGACGCAGGACGAGGAGAAGCTGAGGACTCTAGCCAGCAGGGTGATGACGAGGTGAGCCAGCGACAGGTCCATCTGGTGGTAGTGGAAGGAGCGGTACATGTAGAGCACGTGGTTGGGGAACCAGCAGAGGGCAAACAGGCCGACGAACACCAACACGATCTTGGCCAGGCGCTTCCTTGTCTCCATCTGGAGGAGATGAAAAGACACAATGAGAAATAATCAGCTGGGGTGTAAGTAGATGAGATAAGAGGAACAATTCTACTTAAACTACAGATTTTTAATTTGATATTCAGAGTAAAACAATTGGAGCTGATAAAGACACAATTAGAGATAATCAGCTGGGGTGCATACAAAAGCTTAAAAATGGTTTGATTCATTATATGCATTTTAATTAAGTGGTTCATCATTGTTATATGTATCTGTGCAAATCAATATAAACCTTGAGTGATCACCCTAAAGATAAATATATATTTTCTGGGGGTCGTAGGGGAATCTTCCTGGTGAAGGAGCAGGTCCAGGTTTTTCGCCCTTACTGTATATTGATTGATGGATATTGATGACTATGGAAGTAATGATGTGTTGATCTTTTATTGTTTGTGGGTTTGCTAACCCCCAAAGGAGGGATTATGTTGAAAGGTTGAATCATAACAGAAACACACAATCTGGACAGCAACAGGCACAAACCAATAAGTCTCTAACCTAAATTTAGCCAGGTCATAAGGTCATGTTCTGATACTCGTACACACATACCCAGCCACCCTTTCCTGGTAATAGACCAGTTTGTCCGCCCAAGAAACTTATAGGAAATGGTCTTTATATAGCACACATGTTGTAACTGCCCAGTGTGATGATTGCCCATAACGGGATGATTGGGATGTCATAAAAGAACTGCTCCAAGAGAAATAAACTGACCCTCGATTCACAAGCCATAGTCTCTGTCTGACTGTTCAAGAGCATTTACTCTTCTACAGAAGTAGATGAGATAAGAGGGACTCTTTGAAAGATTCTACTTAAACTAAAGATTCTTAATTTAATATTCAGAGTAAAACAATCAGAGCTGATAAAGACACACCACTTACTGGCATCAATGAGCATTTTAATCTAGTACATCGTCACCTTCAAGACGCGCCCCTGATCTGATGAGTTCATGAAGAGGTGGGACTTCACAGAGGAAGAAAAAGGTTATAAGGACGACCATTATGTCACCTTTATCCCCACTGATGGTTACTTTAGGTAAAGTGCAGAACAGAGGCTGAGGTTAAAGAACGGAGCGTCCAGGAGCTCCAACATGTTTAAGAATCTGAACACATGTCGTGCAGAGTAAAGGAACGGGAGTTTGACCTTGTCAGGCGGACGCTGAGAGGTTGTCAGGAAAAGGTCAGTGATGTCGCTCACGCCCTTTGCACAAGTCAGTCATCTGCGCAAGGTAAAGACTCAACTCAACACAAACACACAAATACGGAAATGTCAACAATATTTTTTTTGTTAAAGTGCTTCTCTGTGTACTGCACACGTCAGACACGTCAGACCGGCTGACCTCCGCATGGACGCACTCCTGATGATTGACTCTTTGTGTCTTCCTCCAACAACATTAAGTTTCCAAGACGCAGAAGAAGATATCCATACTTTAAGACCTCTCAACTTACATCCTGGTACAACTTTCTCACCGAAAAATGCAAGAAAAAAAAACTGGTATCATTAAACATGCAACAAAAATTACCGGCACTACCCAGATCCACGTTTCAGCTGCTCCCCTCAGGAAGTCGTTTTAGAGAACCACTCTTACAGACACTCTTTTATTCCGACTGCAATACACATTTTAAACAAGGCTAAATAAGCAATGTTTTTTAAAATACTGTGCATGTGTTTTTACCTATTTAGGGTACTTATAGCTATTTATGACCCAATGTGAGTGTTAGTGTGAATGTTTGTATGTTTTCATGTTGAGCCTCAACAAAAGGTCATTTTCTGTCACAATGGGATAGACAATAAAGTTTTGTGAATCTTGAATCTTGAATCTTGGACTTCTGCAGCTGCCTCTATACAGGAGTCAGAGTCAGTCGTCCCTCTCACATCTGCAGTCTGTGCAAAATGCTGCTGCAAGATCTTTAACAGCTACATGCTACATGTTAACAGGAGCCCATCCCCCTTTCACTGGATTCCTGTTGATTTGAGATTGAGTTGATTTTTACGTCACTGCATGGTTTAGTCCCCTCTTATCCATCAGAATTCCTAGTCCCCTACTGTACACCTGAGGATGATCACTCAGGTCCACTAAGCGGTCTCTCTCTCTCTCTCATGTTGTTCCTCAAGCTCAGCAGAAACTCAGGGGGACCGCGCCTTCTCAGTGGCAGCTCCCCCGTCTGTGGAATCAATTTCCTCTCCTCATCAGAGGCACTAACTCGTTACATTCATTCAAAGAATGGACAAGAACAAGACCTTAGACTGTAGACCGACCAGAAGACCAGGAGGTCAGACTGTAGACCGACCAGAAGAACAGGAGGTCAGACTGTAGACCGACCAGGAGGTCAGACTGTAGACCGACCAGAAGAACAGGAGGTCAGACTGTAGACCGACCAGGAGGTCAGACTGTAGACCGACCAGAAGAACAGGAGGTCAGACTGTAGACCGACCAGGAGGTCAGACTGTAGACCGACCAGAAGAACAGGAGGTCAGACTGTAGACCGACCAGAAGACCAGGAGGTCAGACTGTAGACCGACCAGAAGAACAGGAGGTCAGACTGTAGACCGACCAGAAGAACAGCATCTATAGTTTCTTGTCTTTAGTCTGAACGCTCTGTGACGCTCACCTGATGAGACACCAGGAATAGATTTGCACACAAGAGGAGATAATGAGAGTCTGAGGAGGCAGAAGGAGTTCATCACTGGGAGAATATGAACTCTTTCTTAATGAATCAGAATCTGTTCCCGGCTCATCATCATTAAGTTGAATAGCAGCTGGCAGGTCTCACCTTGACTGACTCTCCTCTCAAAGACAGGAAGCAGTACATTTTAAAATAACAATAATAAAAGGTTGAGCACAGGCAGTGTGCTGATTATGGAGCAGGGATCATCTGGGCTGCTGCTGATTCCTGCTCGCTCTGATTTGCTGCCAGTGATCTGCAGAGTTTTGGCGTATTTCCCAACATCCTCTCAGACACCTGCAGCTGCAGACAAAACTCAGCTGGAGGGCGGGATTATGTGAAATTCTGTGTGTATGAATGTGCGCTTGCTTTTGTTTCAGCAGGAGTGTGTTCAGTACACACACACACACTTGCAGCAGCTGAGTGTGTGCAGACGTCTGTCTCGTCAGCTCATGATGATAAGTGATCAGAGTCCTCCTCCTGCAGAGTCTCAGAGGAGGGGGAAACCTGCAAAGACCCCTGGGAGTTTCTGGGCTGCCAGCTCCCATTAGAGACACGTCCGAAACCTGACGCGAGCGAGGAGCAGCGAGTCGTCCAGCTTTCAAACTTTTATTACACTTCTGCTGCTGTCAGACTTTCCCATCATGCTTTTGGGTTTAATCCCATCAAACATTATTCTGCATCTCAAAGTCAAAGGACTCTGAAGTCATCCTCTTTAAGTTTGATGAGAGAAGAAAACGGTGAAGCTCCGATCAGAGCATAAACCTTTACAGCTCACAAACATAGCAGTGAAAATAACCATTTTCTCAGACAGTGTGTGTGTGTGTGTGTGTGTGTGTGTGTGTGTGTGTGTGTGTGTGTGTGTGTGTGTGTGTGTGATTGTTCTATTTCTACTAACGAGGCAATCACAGCGAGCAATCACACGACAGCTGCAGAGGATCAAAGAGAGCAACAGAGTCTTCACCCGCTGAGACGGCAGCAACACACACACACACACACACACACACAACATACACAACACAACACACACTCCAGACAAATACAAACACACACACAACTAACAACACACACACTGCAGATGATCGACGTGTTCACTCAGAGAGTTTCTATTTGACAAACACAAAAATGATGAAGCAGCGTGAACATGAGAGACGGAGAGACGCAGCGCCGTACAGACGGGAATAAATGACAAACATTAGAGCTCAAATCTAAAATGTTTCTGAGACGGAAAAATAAAAACAAACACGGAGCAACAATCTGCTGAGAAACAACACAAACATCAACACCTCGACGTGAAATAAACAGAGCAGGAAATGAAAACCTGCGTGATTCCATTCACAGGAAGACGTCACAATACTCTGTCTCAATGTGCGCACACACACACACACACACACACACACACACACTTCAGTATAAACTGCTCGAGGGGTTTTTCTCTTTACTTTCGTTGAGGTTTCATGAATAAACATGAACTGTAGTCTTAGTTTTTAAATCAGAGACAGAAAAAACAACTGCTGCTAATGTGTGTGTGTGTGTGTGTGTGTGTGTGTGTGTGTGTGTGCGTGCGCGTGCGCGTGCGTGTGTGTGTGTGTGTGTGTGTTCTCGCGTACCTATCAAACAGGGGACTTGTAATACACCCACCAACAGGGGACTTGCCGAACTAATACAAAATGTGTGTATGCTGGAATCTATTTTTAGATCGGAGACTTTCTGAACGTCAGACAATCAGCTCACTGTGGATACTGGAGCATTGACTGGGGTGGCAGCGAGCGGTCGGTCTGCGGCGAGCATGGAGCGTGTGGAAATTGGCATAAAGCCGCTCATTATCTCGTACCAGAACGATCTGAAATCGTGTTTACAATCGGCTGAAAAATTTAAACTTCTTTGGAAATGTTGTTTTTTAAAGGCTGCCGGCGACATTAAGGTCACAATCAGACCGACAAAAAGAGCAGCTCTGCCCCGAGGACGCTTCAAGCCACACCTCGCAGTCAGTTCCACTCGGTCACGTGACTCACGTCGCTGCTGCTGAACCGTCAAACTCAAATACAAACATCCTTGCTGCGCAGTTTGATAGAAGAAGAAAAGGTTACTCTTTACGTCATTCATACTGCAGCATGTTACAGCTGACATCATGAAGTTCTGTCTCAGTAAACTGATGAAGTCTCTGCAGAGAGGAGGAGGCGCGGTGAGTTATTAAAGGAAGTGTTGATTTATGCTCCTGCGGGGAGCTGATGTCAGTCACTGTTGATGTTTTTTATCCAGAAGGACAAGATATGACATCAGAGACTCTCAGAGGACACCGAGTCGATACTTCTCTTCAGT